AGTGAGGTGCGACTTTCTATAGAAGGATTTTTCACATTTATTACACTCAAACGGCTTCTCCCCAGTGTGGGTTCTCTGATGTATTTTGAGGACTGAGTTCTGGTTAAAAGCTCTCCCACATTCAATACACTGATAGGGTTTCTCCCCTGTGTGCCTTCTCTTATGCCGAATAAGACAACACTCTGTATAGAAGGACTTTTCACGTTCATTACACACACAGGGTTTTTGCCTTGTGTGGATTCTCTGATGCTGAGTGAGGTGTGACTTTTTAGAGAGAAATTTTCCACACACATTACATTCACAGACTTTCTCACTTGTGTGTTTTCTCTGATGCAAGGTGAGGTCAGATTTTCTGCAGAAGGACTGTCCACATTGGTTACACTCACAGGGTCTCTTCCCTGTGTGACTTCTCTGATGTTCTCTGAGGTATGATATGTAAGTAAAAGTTTTCTCACATTCATTATATGCATAAGGTCTACCTCCAGTATGAGTTCTCTGATGTGCGATGACGTGTGTCTTGCTAGAGAAGGATTTCCCACATTCTTTACACCCACAGGGTTTCGCCCTGACCCCAGTTCTCTGCTGTGCACTGAAGGCAGTCTGAGCGCGCAAGGTTTGCCTCCTTACGGTATCACGACTGAAGTTCCCAACTGTGTCGAGTCTCTGAGATACAGTGAGGGCTGCGTTAGGACTGAAGTTCTTATTTCCAGTTTCAAAGGCCTCTATTTCTGTGTGAGTGCTCTGATGCCCTCTGCAGTGTGACTTGTGGCTGGAAATTTTCTCATCTCTGTCTGCACCCTGCAGTTGAGTAAATAAGTCTTGCCGCAAATGTTTCCTTTGAGTTGCCAGGCTTTTCTCTAAGAGGTTATCAACACAGCAGCCTTATAAAGTAAAGAAAATAGACCGTAGGAAGGTATAAATTGGTAGTTTGAGATTTGCAGATACCAACTACTATATATAAAACAGATAAACAAGTTTATACAGCATAGCACAGGGAACTATATCCAATATCTTGTAGTAACTTACAGGGAAAAAGAATATGAAAATGAATATATGTCTGTTCAGGTATGACTGAAGCATTATGTTGTACATCAGAAACTGACACAACACTGTAAACTGACTATACTTCAATAAATAGGTATATACCAAAAGAACTTTTTAAGTAAAACTAAAATCCCTTATGAACCTTAAACACATTTCTTACAGGATGCAGCCTTCATACCTATGTCCTACACTGTATTTGTCTATTTTGTTTCTAGCTACCAAGTCTCCTCACAGTGAACGAATCCCAAGTGTATATTCCCTGTACTCTTCAGAGAAAAGGACAGCACAATTATGACGACTGGCACATACACAGCTGTATATTCCTTATTTTAAAAATAAGGAAACAAAGAGTAAATAGATAAAAGCTCTCAAAAGTGCTTCATTCAGGAAATTGGAAAATGAGAGACTGGGTGACTCATTACAAGTAGTAGGTAGAATTGGAAAAAAAAAAACCAGTAAGGGTTTCCAATGAATTCAGACTGAGGAAGAACATCAGTGTCTACGTCCTCTTAATTCCAAATATAGATTATGTTGGTAAGATACTTCTTATTCTGCAAGCTTCCAGCTGGAGTTCTGTCTTTTACACTCTATACCTCAGCACTAAGATGACTTCGTAATTGTACTAACTTTCTCCTGATTAAAGACACAATTCTACAGCTCAAGCTCAAATTCTCGTCAAGTTACTCATGGAAATACAAACATATGTGAAGCGTAAAGCCGATGAGAGGTTAACTACATTCTGACCTGGAGTGAACTCATTTCTGCACAGTGGCTCTGCTCACTTAGTTTATTATACCACAGTTGTTCAATAGTGACCCTCTCCTGAACATCAAGTCATAAATTTCCCCTTTCACCACGATGACTCATTCTCCTAAAACTAGTCTTAGCCATGACTATTCTCTACAAACGTATCCCATCTATTTCTCATCATATAGTTTCTACTAACTGAGATTCTGAAAGATTATGTTTCAACCAATTTCCACAAGCCTATTTAGAAACAGCCTTTTGATTCACTTCTCATGGAAGCTGCTTGCATAGTAGCTCTTCCCAAACCTCCTTTCATCTTCTATGCAAAGTCCCAGCCATGCGCTAAAAACTGAACACGTCACCGAACACACGGCACTAAATGCCACAGATAAAAAGAGGTAAGTGGCATCATGCAGGAAAATGAACTTTTTTTTTTAATATAAACCAACTTCAGGCTTGTTAGATATTCTAGTTGCCACCCTAAAACCCCACAGTATTTTCCAGTCTATTTTGGCCAGGCTATTTCTCCCTCAGTGGTATATTAACAATAATATTTCTCACATCCAACAATTATCTTCTCTTCACATTTGTTCTCTATGTAACCCTACAGCCCATCTTTAGCACTATGACTAATTTAGGTAACTTTTGAGGGAGTACTATTTCTTAAACTTGACCAAAAAACTACCTTTTTAGACCTTCCCACCACTAATCTGCAATCTCACAGTAAGTACTGCCAGTATCATTACTCTTAACAATGAATAAAAAGTACACATCTACCCTGATGTACTCACAGTTTTAAATAACCTATAATCACATAAATCAGGAAGCATCTTAAAATTGATGGCAAGTCCAGTTTTTTAGCTATCCCTAAAATAATGGTCTTTCTACTGGTATAAAACAAATTTATGGAACAAATTCATGCAGCTTTCCCCTCCTTATGTGAAACAGAACTCTAATTTTCTGATTATTTTTGCACCCCCTCTGTGATGTAAAATAAATTAGTGGTCCTCAAAAAAGCAGCACACTTCAGAGCTAACCAGACCACTTTTGAAGGTTCAATGACAATGTAAACAAAGATTCAGAAGTCAAAGAAATGTGACTGCTGGTCCATACATATGGAATACCTCTCTCCTACCTGGCTCTAGGTCAATCTAACATAATTATAAATTATTAATTATATTACATCCCAAAATATGCAGAAATAAAATAGAGAACATTCTTTTCTGGTGGATTACAAAATACACCAGATATACACACACATGCTTTAGGTATATTATTACTTTGAGAATGCGTGTATGTTTTAATATTCTTGTTCTGAGTAACAAGACACTCATTAGTTTTTTATGTTTCTGACCATTATTTATATGGCATTTTCCTACTTGTTTCCTACTTCTGTTGTTTGATTCCATATGCGTAACTTTGATTTTAGATGCACAGACCCTGATTGCCCTGCAGTAGATAACAGTTCATTATATTACTACATCACGATTTAATTTTAAATTCACTTATAAATACCGAAGTTCTTTCCCAATTTGGGCTTTTTAACAAACGTATGAAGACAGCCTTACATTTGTCTCCCAGAGAAAATACATAGGACTCTAAAGGATAAATGTGGGAGTTGAACTGCTGAGTCATGGGGAACATGAATGCTAAACTTTAAAGAAAATGTTAAGTGGTTTTCCCAAATAGTTATACCAATTAATATTGCTCTCTGCCTTGCAGTTGTTTCTCTGCATTACATTCTCATACTCTTGGTATCATATACTTCTCCATGTTAAAAACTGAGTAGGTATAAAGTCATATTAAATTGTGATTTGATCTGAATTTGTATTTCCCATATTACTAAGATTAAGCGATTTTTCTATGTATGTCAGTGATTCCCTTCCTTGGGAAATGTTTGTTCATGGCTTTTACCTTTTGAATGGGTTCCTTGACTTTTTATATACATTTTAAAAGTTCAATAATTAATATATACTTGATACTCAGGTTTTTTTCTCAGGCAGCTAAATCAGTGAATGGAGTATTTTAAATATCTACTCGGTATAGAGTTTATATTCCAGCAGAAAAAGACAGAAAACAAAACATGTGAAAATAGTGTATTAGGTGATGAGTGGTTGGGAGAAAAATACAACAGAAGAAAAGAAGACACAGACCATTTAAGGATGGTAACAGAAAGCCATACTAAGAAGATACTTGTCTTATGATCATCTCCCACTGCATGTATCTACAGACAACTCTTCTGTCCATTTTAAAAAACAGCAGAGTGACTACCCATGGAACTGTCATCTGCATCAAGAAATAGAATATGACTGGATTAGTGAAACTTCAGAACTTCCTTAAAAACAAGTTACTGTTTCACTGCAGGTCACATCACCAGAAACTTAATAGTAATTACTTGCTTTCACGTTTCTACTGTTTTACAGCTTTCTTCTAGAGGCCTTAAGAATTTGGAAATTTAGGGAAAAAAATATGCAATATGTAGAAAAAGAGTATCTTTAAAAAAAAAAGTAATAGGGTGTCATCCTGATTTTTTTAATGTTTAAAAGTAGGAACGCAAATACTTATTTTAAAGCTCACAAATCAATATTTATATTTGACATTCAAAAGCTAAAAACCAAGAGATTATAAAAGAAACTAGAGTTGGGTATTAAACTATGAGGAGGAAGAGAAAGTAAATATTTTAATTTCATAACTGGTTCCATATTAGGTGATTACTAGATCCTGTCTAAATAAATAATTACTAAGCTATTGCAGGAGATTACAATTTTTAAGTTACTACTTATGCCAAAGTACAACCTATCTAAATTATTAGAAGAAAAACACACTTATTGAAAAAAGCAAAGAAAACAGGCCTATCACTGAGAAGTCTCTGTAACGGTCTCAAACACGGCCTCACGGAAGAAACCACCAGTCGATCAGCACCAATGAGCCAATGTGAACTATTAAGAGAAAACGCTACCAGTCTACCAGAAACATACCTAAAATTAACTTGTAAAATAGAAACACACATTTGTAAATCAAGCAAAAAATTAACAATAATTCAGGATCCACTGATCTTACTCAAGGCTGAAATCAATTTTTTCAAAATTAAATGAAAGGTTATTATGCACATTACCGAACAAAGTCTCCTAGGTATTTCTGTGAAACTTGAGCAGCTCATTATTAAGACACATTATAAAACTTCTATAATCAGTATGAAATGGTACCAGTGTGGAGATAACTAAACAGGCTAGAGAAAGAACAGAGAAACCAGGAGCTGGCACACCATTTACTGCCTCTTGACTTCTATCCATGGTAGTACCGCAAAAAGCTGGAGAAAATTACTCCTGTGAAACCGAGGTAAACTGCATGTCTAAATGGAAAAGTTTATACCATTTACATTTAACGTTACCATCTACGTATTTGGATGTCTCCCTTTCAAATTACTAACTGCAAGACGAGAACATCGATGTGCTTATGCTCCATCTCTTTTCTCACACACCCCCTTACCACATTACACTAGGGCTGCGCTTTTGAAACTTCAAGATGTAAGTGCTCAAAATGGAGACGACTTAAACCATTTCGCGGTGCCCACCTCTAACTGTCCACTTTGGATGTAATTCCCCTGGAGACCTGTCTACAGAACTCAGTAACTCACCCGCCTGGCTCTTTGTTAGAAATTCGTTCTCTAATAACAAGGGATCTTCTCTTCGCTCCAACTTGAAGATTATGTCCGGTTTTGTAAACCAGTACCCTGTAAGTGGCAAATAATGCAGGACTTGGATCAGCTCCATTGCCTGTAACGCACATGAATGTGAAGGAAGGGTTACAGGAGTAGCATATTGATGGTGCACATCTGAGCTTTCCTTTGGAGAGGAAACTACAAAGACATTTTTTTCTCCAAGGAAATTCATCTCTCAAGCCCATAAATCATAAAAAAAATAACACTGAGTCTACATATACAGAGATTTAAATAAGGCTCTGTATAGGAGCTTCCAATAATGGACGTGATGGTACAAGAGGAATGATGATAACATGTCAAACAACTGGAAATCATACAAAGTTGATAAAACAATGACCCTTAGACATCACACACTGGACAACACTGAAAGACAAGCATCTGTGAGAGAAGGGGAAAAACAGCATTTTTGGATTACTGCACAGGAAAAAGACACCAAATCACAGCCTGCCGACCTCAGTCCCTACAAAAAGCAGCACTGGTGTGTTCAGGGAAGCCAAAACAATTACAATTTCTAAAGTGTACGTTTTCAGAGGGAAGAGGTACACCGACAGCCTGGAAGATCTAACAGAAAGGTCACCTTGAGCAAGTCTGCACATTCAGCTAAGAATACTCTCAACAATAGAGAGAAAGAAAACAGATGCAATAGGTTGGAAAATTCCCAGAGAGTCACAGAGACATGCTGCCTGGAAAGAGTGTGCAGATCTTCTGATACATGAGGTACTAGACGTTCTGTTCCCAAAAGGGTCTATTATCCTGCTAGAGCAACCAAATTAGTCCTAAATGAAAGATGCTCTAAACCTGAGATAACAATCAACAATTAATTTAATTACTTGAATTAAACTAAAGTACCAGCAAGGACTGAAAAGATGAAAATTTCTCCCAAATCATTTAGTGCACTCACAAAACATGCCTCAAAGTATTTACACAAATATAACAAAATCTAGCAACCAACAATGTAAAAATCACAATAAGCAGTAGACTACCAAAACTGAACAAGTATGGAAGAAAAACACGATTCAAAAATCAGGAGAGAAATCAATCAATGGAGCAGAACAAGAAATGTTGCCTGAAATAAAATTAGTCTTCAGAGACATTAAAACTGAGACATGACTCACAGTGGAAAAAAAATGTGACAACAAATACATGTATGTTCATGTGTAACCGAAAAATTGTGCTCTACACTGGAATTTGACAAATTGTAAAATGAGTATAACTCAATAAAAGAATGTTAAAAAGAAAAGTAGAAAAACTGAAACATGAAGACATTAGTATAAATCACACTAACCACACAATAAGCAAACCAATGCTGGAGAAACTACACAGTACCAAACAAAACTCAGAGAAACAAAGATTACCAGGAGTAAAACTAATCTCTGCTATATTCCAAAAGTGACTATTTATCAACAGGATGTAAGAATCCTAAATGGTTTACCGCTTGAAAACAGACCTTCAAAAGGCATAAAGTAAATCCTATTTAAAAATACAGACAAATGAATTATACTTGGAGAGCCACAGTCCTCTCTCAATATTTAAAAGTATATAGAAGCCTTGCGCAATACGATCACCCCACTGGCTAACTCCATTGAGAAAAAGCATTATTTTCAATCACATATGGAATACTCATAAGGATCTTATGCTAGACCCTAAAAGAAGTTTCAATACATTTCATAAGATTGAAAATGCATGAAATAGTGTTCAAAGTAACAAACAGAAAAGTAAACAAAAAATTGTAATAGTAATGCATAAGGCTTTGTATTTCTTTTTGAAAACTGCTTTAGCTATATCACACAAAGGTTGATGTGCTTTTATTTTCATTTAGTCCAAAATATTTTCATAAACATTCTGTGATTTCTTGTTTGAGTTAATACAGTCAAGATGGCAAGACTCTGGAAGTTGAGCTACAGGTTTAATCCAACCCCTACCAAAATCTCAGCACAAATCTTTTACACAAATGGATAAATAACCCTAAAATTCAAATGGAAATGCAAGTGACCCAGAATACCTAAAACAAACTTCATAAAGAAAAAACTTAAAACAAACTTCATAAAGAAAAAACTTGGCAGGTTCACACTTTTCAACTTCAATTACTCTGTGTTTACAAACAAACAAAAACTTCCTGTCTCTCATCTGTATTACTCTTACACTCTACTCAGAGAACACTTGTGTCTTCACAGTAACTCTTCACTGCTGGTCACTGAGTGTGGAGAGGTTTTTCCCACCACCAAGCAACAGTGCAACACCAGAAAGGTGCCTTACAATCCAGTTCAGTTCAGACACTAACTACTTGGAGTTACCATCAGATCCCACAGGTGAGGGGCTCAGTCCGACAAGACTGCCTCTCCTCACATTTCAGATGTCAATTACAAGTCCAGCCTGCAACCTGTACTCCTGACCACCTAGTTACAAATGGATAGCCCCACATCCTGGTCCTCAGGCGCAGTTAATTTGCTAGAATGGCTCACAGAACTCAGGAAAAGTTTACTTACTATTACTAGGTTGTCACGTTTATTACAAATCGTACAGTTCAGAAACAGCCAGATGAATAAGCTGACAAGAGCCTAGCTTCCATGCCCTCTGCAGAAGGGTCAACCTCCCGGCACCTGCATGTGTTCACCAACACTGAAGCTCTCTGAACCACACAGTTCATCTAGCCCCCTTTTCTCCCTCCCTGGAGGTCAGGGGATGACCCTGGAAGTCCAAATCCTCTCATGCCTAGGTTGGTACCCCTGGCAACAAGCCTACATCCTTAGGGGGTTTCTAAAATCACCTCATTCAGCAAGGCTGAAAGGAGCTTGATTTGTATGCTAAAAGCCAACTTAATCCCTCTTCACTTAGGAAATAGCAAGGGTGTTAGGAACTTGGGTCAGGAACAGGCATGAAGAACAAATCTTATCTTTCTTCCCATAAACATACATCATACTATACTGCTAAGGCAGTACTGGGGTTAAGAACAGGCACTAATAAGTCTACAGGAGACTTAGAAAACAATGGACTAGAACCGAGAGTCCAGAAATAAACCCTTACAAATGTATGAACAAATGAATTTCAACAAGGGTGCCACAATTCAATGAGGAAAATACAGTCTTTTCAACAAACGGTGTTGGAACACCTGAATCTTCAACGCAGAAGAACGAACCCGCACCCCTACCTCACACTATCTATAAAAATTAACTCAAAATGAGTAACACACCTAAATGTAAAGACTAAAATCACAACGTAGGAAAAAAAACACAGGCGCAAATCTTTATGACTTCGGGTGAGGAAAACTTTTCTAAGAAATGACAAAAACAAGCAAAAGAAAAAGAGATCAACTGGATATTGTCAAAATTTAAAAAAAAAAGTGCTTCAAAAAACTCCATGAAAGAAGTGAAAATACAACCTGCACTATGGGAGAAAATACTTGTAAAACATGTAACTACTAAACACACCTGTACTCAGATTGTGTAAGAAATCCTAAAAGTCAACAACGAAGAAAAGACAAAGAACACAAATTATAAAAGGAGAACAGATGTGAACAGACAGTTCACCAAGGAACATATACAGTCAATAAGCAATTAGCACACGAAAAGATGCTCAACATTAGGGAGGTGCAAATCACAACTATAATGAAATCCCACTTCACACTCAATAGGATGGCTTTAAAAAAAAAAGCAGACAATACCAAGTATTAATGTAGATGTGGTGAAACTAGAACCCTCATTCATTGCTGGTGGGGTGGTAAAATGGTGCCATAGGTTTGGAAAATTCTTTTGGCAATTCCTAAAATTGTTAAACAAGAGTTACCATATCACCCAGTAATTTCATTCTAATTATACACCCAGGAGAATTGAAAACTGCTCAAAGCACCATTCCTTGTAACAGTCAAAACAGAAGCAACCCGAAGTCCATCAAGGGTAATCAAAATATGACATATCCATAAAACCAAATATTACTTGGCCAAAAAGTGAGCTGGATTACTGATACAGATGCAGCATGGATGAGCCTTAAATGGACCATGCTAAGTGGAGAGGTCACTCAAACAGCAGTGCATTCTGTGATTCTATTTACATGAAACGTCCGCAACAGGCAAATCTCTAGACACAGAGCACATTAACAGCTGCTATGGGGTGGGGAGCAGAAATGGAGGGACTACGTGATGAAATGATTCTAAAATTAAATCGTGGTGAAAGTTCGTTATCTCTGGGAACATATTAAGAATAATGAATTATACAAATTAAGACTGTGAAGTTTTGTGCATCAATTATATCTCAACAAAGCTGTTACCACAAAAAAAAAATTCTGACAAAGAAAAGTCCAGGTCCAGATAGCTTCTAAAGTGAATTCTACTATGAACTTTTAAGGAAGAAATGACATTAATTTTATAGCACTAGGAAAGGGAAAGAAAGAAATAGCAGACACTGAGCAACTATTTAAGGCCTCTGACTAACATCACTTAGTGATAAATAAATGAAGTCTTTTCCATTAAATTATAAGTCTATTCAAAAACAGAAATTAAAACGCAGAGACATCAGGGAGATATAAAAGTATCTTTACTTACAAATCATACTATTTAATACGTAAAAATGTTCTAAGGAGTCTTCAAACATGTAGAAGAAACAAGTGAAGTCAGCAAGATACAAAGATACAGTATCAATGAATAGAAACTATAATTCTATGTAATTCCAAAAAATTATTGGAAATTCAAGTTTTAAAAATATCATTAAAGACAGCATCAAAAGATTTAAGGACACATTTCACAAAACAAGTTGAAGGCAAGTACACTGGAAACTACAAAACACTGCAAAGGAGCATTAAAAGCTAAGGAAAGAGAAGAGTTTTCACAAATCAGAAAGATTCAATCTTACCAGATGTAAATTTCCCCCCAAATGATCTACAGATTCAACACAGTCTTTATAAAACCCACTAGAGTTTCAAGAACAACTAAATTCTTTTACAATCCATAGGGATAGGAAAAGAACCTGTAACAGCCAACAGAAAAAGGTAAGTGAAGTTATTCTTCTTTCCCACTATGCAGTCAGATTAATCAAGATAGTGCACCACTAGTGTTAAGACAGGTATTTTAATAAATAAATCAGAATGATATTCAGGTCAGCCTACGCACATACAGTCAATTTATTTCAACCGGTGCCAAGGCAACTGAACAGGGAGAGATAATCAGTTCAACAATTACAACTTCAGCACACAAAAAAAAATCACAATCCGTATCTCACAGTACGTACAGAGATTCCCTGGACTTACATGCAAAGTGTAACTTAAATGCAAAGTGCACACCAAGAAAACTTCTAGAAGAAAAATATAGGAGAAAATCTGAAAGACCTTTGCTTAGGCAAAGAATTCTTAAAAAGGGGGAAACAGAAGAACGAGAAAATAAAGCATATATTAAGTTGGACTTCATCAACATAAGACCTTTTACTATATTGTTTAGGAAATAAAAAGGCCCAAGTATCTGACCTCCTACAGATCAAGAGAAAAATTTTCCAAGACGTGTATGTTATAAAAGCTTTCAATTTAGACTGTATAAAGAATTTTTTCAACTAATTCAATTAAAAAAGAATTATTTCTATTGCATCTTAACACAAAAAAGTCAACAAAACAAATGGGTAGGGATCTGAGCATACTTTTTATAAAGATATACTAATGGCTGAACAGCTTTAAAAAGTTGTTCTGCATCATTATCAAAGGGAAATGCTAATTAAACACCAAGCAGATACAACAGACTCCAAATAAAACATCAAAACTTATTGGGTTTACAATACAAAATAATGGTGAAAGTGTGGAGCAATTAGAACCACTGTGTGTTGCTAACGCCCCAAAAAGTGACAAATTCATTTTAAAACCACTTGGCAGTTCTCTTTTTTCCTTCATTACACAGGCCTGCCTCAGAGATGCTGCAGGTGTGGTTCCAGATCGCCAGAATAATGTGAACATCAGAATAGTGAGTCACACACGTACATTTTTTGGTTTCCCAGTATGTATAAAAGTTCTGTTCACATTACGATTATGTGTGCAACAGCAATACATCTTAAAAAAGAAAATGCACACACCTTAGCTTAAAAACACTATATTGCTGAAAAGAAAAGAAAAGAAAACAAAACAAAACACTAACCATTAACTGAGCCCTCTGTGAGAGGTGATCTTCTTGATGGTGCAGGGCCCTCGTTATTGATGGCAGCTGACTAACAGTGACGGTTTCTGAAGGATAGGGTGGTTGTCGCAATTTATTAAAATAAGACTATAATGAAGTCTGGGACATGCACTGATCTCCTTTTATGACTGACAGCTCCATGACAAGGCAAGGTAATTGTCAGCATCTTCCACACAGTTACACATCTTTCACAACTAGAGCCAACCCTCTCAAAGTCTGCAACTACTTTATCACCTAAGTTTATGTAATATTTTGAATACTTTATTTCAATGATCTTTATTGTCTTTACCAGAAGTAGATTCCAGCTCAAGAAAACTTTCTTTGGTCCTTCAAGAAACATGTCCATATTCATTAAATTTTTTTCATGGGATTGCAGCAATTTAGGCTTCACTTCTAATTCTCCTGATTTTCCCACTACATCAGCAGACACTTCCTTCACTGACGTTTTGAGCCCCCCAAACGTACCACTAAGTGTTAGAATCAACAGCTTCACACTCCTGTGAAAGTCGATACTGTGACCCCTTCCCATGAATCACAAGTGCTCTTACGGCATCTGGAACAGTCAGTCCTTTCCAGGAAAGATCAACCGACCTTGAGGAGACCCATCAGAGCACTCACTATCTACGGCAGCCTTACAAAACGGATTTCTCAAAGAATATGACTTGACAGTCAAAACGCCTCCTTGAACAACGGGCTGCAGTATGGATGCTGTTAGCACGCATGAAAACGACACCAATCTCACTGCACAGCTCCATCCGGGCTCCTGAGTGATGAGTACACTGTCAATGAGCATATTTTGAAAGCAATCCTTCTGAGAAGGAGGTCTGACAGTGGGCTAAAGATACTTAGTACCATGAGGTCAACAGACATGCCATCATCCGGGCTCTGTTGTTCCATTTACAGAGCACAAACAAAGCAGATTCAGCATAATTTTTAAGGGCCCTAGGATTTCCAGAATATTAAATGAGCACTGGCTTCAATTTAAAAGTCACCAAGCTGCACTAGCCCCTAACAAGTCAGTCAGTCTAACCTTTGTAGCTTTGAAGCCAGGCATTGATGTCTACTCTCTACCTAAGAAAGTCCCAAATGGCATCTTCTTCCAATAGAAGACTGTTTCATCTACTGTCTCAGCTAAACCTTCTGCGTAACCTGCTGCAGCTTTTACATCAGCACTCGCTGCTCCCCCGGCACATCCCTCTTAGACAGACGGAATTGTTAATTGGTCTAATTTCAAATCTGTTTTATCTCGGGGAATAAGGAGCCTCAGGAGCGGGAGAAAGACTGGGGGAGTGACCAGTGGTCAATGGAGTAGTCAGATCACACACAACATTTATCAGTTAAGGTTAAAGTCTCATATGAGTGCAGTTCATAATGCTCAAAAACAATTGCAACAACACCAAAGACACAGACCAGCACGACAAATGTAATAATGAAAGTGCTTGAAACGCTGTGAGAATTACCACTTGTGGCAGAGAGAGACCAATGAGCCAACGCTGCTGGAAAACAGGCACCAAGAAGGGGTCAATGCAGGGGACTGCCACAAACCTTCCATTTTGCCAGGAAAAATAATAGCTGCAAAGTTCAATAAAGCAAAGCACAGTAAACCAAGATATTCCTGTAGTTACAAGTAATTGTCATGACACCAGGAAACCACCACTCGGGCCTTAAAACATGGGAATAAAAACATGGTCACATACAGACTTGGGTGTATCCGAAGGAGATTTATTTATGATACCACTAAACCCCAAAGAACCTAAATGTCCTTACTGGCAATTGATAATACACAACATACAACAGAACACTGCTCATCAATACAAATAACAAACATAGAAGGACCCGCTGTTCATCTATTTTATACACTGGTTAGTATCCACAAACACTATACAAAAAATGGATAAATGACAGGGCCTACTGTATACCACAGGGAACTATATCCAGCACTTTGTAACAACCTATAAGGAAAAAGAATGTGAAAATATATATATGTGTGTGTATATATACACACCCCTACGGCTCAATCACTGTGCTGTACACCAGAAATTAACACATTAAACTGACTATACTTCAATTAAAAAACAGATACACATAACAACATATGAATCTCAAAAGATTTATGCTATGTGAAAGAACCCACAAAAAAAAATAGTATATAAAGTGTGATTCCATTTATATGAAGTTTCAAAAAAGGCGAAAGTATTGAAAACGAACGAGGACCAGTAATTACCAGAAAACAGGTGGGAAGAGGCCCAACTGAGAAAGACTACAAGGACAATTTTTACGTGAGGGAAATAATCTGTATCATGATTTTGGTGGTACAGCTATGCACAGTTTTCAAAATTCACTGGGATCATACTGAGAAACCTGCTGAATTTTATTTTCTGTTAATTATACCTCAATACAGGTGATTTTTTAAAAAGAAGAAACAGAAAAACAATTGCACTCCAGGGAGAGCGCGCGGCAGAGGGGCTCACCCACTGAGACGAGGTGGCGGTAGTTCTCCAGCATCACATCTCGGTACAGGGTCCTCTGAGCAGGGCTCACGTGCCGCCACTCCTCCTGGGTGAACGCCACAGTCACATCCTCAAATGACACCGACATCTGTGAAAGCACATTTCTCATCAAACTGAACAATTCAAATTAGGTGACATGGGAAATACCTTTGGAACTAACTCCTGTCATGTTTATGGTTCAGAATTTCAGACAAAAGCCTGACACTACACTCTTTATTTGCAAGGCCCCAGGGAAGCAGGCATGTTCATACTTTCGGCTATGCCTTCAAAATTCATGCAGAATTTGATCACTTCAAAGTACAACTGCTAACAGCATTCTTTCTTGAAAGGAATACTGAAGGAGTCTGCTAACTCATCTGTCTCCACCACTGCCTCACAAGGGTCCACTCTCAGAGTTATTATTTTAAATTATGTCAGGTCATGTCATTTCCCAGCACATGAATCTCTAAACAACCTAGTAAACAGAGATGAAAATTATTTTCAAAAATGAAGAGACTGAATATGGTGGAGACGGCAGTTCTCCACAAAGAGATCCTCAGATTCAATGCAATCACAATCAAAAGTTTAGCAGGCTTTTTTAGATTCACAAGCTGACTCTAGTAGTTACAACCAACCAACCTACAATATGAAAACAATTTGGAAAAAGAGCAAAGTTTAAGAACTGATATTACTTGATTTCAAGACATACCACACAACCACTATATGATACTGTGAAACAGTATGTGATATTAACAAAAATGAAAGGTGAAAAGAAAGTCCAAAAATGATACATACACATATACATATACATATTCACTGAACTGAGATGTTGGAACAATTCAATGGAGAAAGTATATTCTGACAAAAATCATGCCAAACTAATAAAACTCCATTAGAAAAAATAAATAAGTAACAATAATCTACATTCATATCTTGCATCCTGTTAATCAATTCAAAATGATCACAGACCTCAATCAGTTGGCTTGAAGCTTAGATTTTAAGAGTCATATACATACACCTGTCACAGAAAGAAACTGACAGCTGGTGTGCTCAAGGGGCAATCAGCAAGATGGTTTGAGTGTCTGCTCCTTTACTCTCAGTACTTAGAATCTACTACTGCTACAAATTTACAAGCCCATCCCCAGCTGGGAAATTCTAAATTTCTGACAGGCCTAACCAGCAACATATCTGGTTGCTGTCAGATCAGGATTCCCTGAATTCAAGTACAAATTTTAAATAGGAAATAGGAATTACTGACATAACAGATATAGTAAGAAAATACTATCAGCAAGCTTATGAAAACACACGTAAAAACAGATAAAAATGTACAATTTCCTGAGAAATAAAGAGACGAAATGAAGCAAAAAGACAGAAGAAAACGAGGAACAAAAGGGGGAAGGAAGACAGGAGAAGGGAAAAGAGCAGAAGTGTCCCTGTAAGACTAGTACAACCCTGACACCACAAATCCTCAGGGACACAAGACAATAAAATTACAGGCTAAGCTAGTTTGTGATTACAGCAATTAAAAATCAAATATGATGTTAGCAAGAAGATGTCACTTATAAATCTACAAACAAAACCAAAAAAACTCACACCCATTAGCAAGCAGGGTCTACACAGGAACTCAAGAGTTAGTTAACATTTTAAAATCCATTAGGCTACCTCTAATATTTGTATATTAAAGAAAACAAGCTATGCCTTTAGGCCAAAAGATACGAAAAGGTACTCAATTTAATGCAGCGTTCAGTCATGACTCAAGTAAAACCTTACCAAGCTGATTATAAAAGGGAAATAACTTCCCTTGGCAATGGAAGTGTAACACAAGACCAGAGCAATCTGAAATCAAGAGTTAAGTCCACCATAGAATAAAGTGGGGAATGAATAAAGGGCTCACCTCAAACATGCTCATTTTCTGCAGCTCTTGGGAGACTGCGGAGGAATGTGAAGATTGAGCTGAGGGGACAGAAAGAGGACAGGGTCAGGACACCAGGCCTGCCTTACACTCCCTGCGTCCACCTCCCACTACCTCTGCACCCAGCTGAGGAGCAGCCTCCCTTTGGCCCCTGAAAAGGGAAGGACCCTGGGGAAGTACCACCTGTCCTTTTTCCCGTTTCAAATGATCGTGGGACTTAAATCTATCACTTCTTATTGCGGTAAAATAATTTTGTCTATTGATTTGAACAATACAAATAAAAAAACATGATTAAAATACCAAAGGATGACAGTATTTCAGCGAAAATTAACAGCAGGAAAAACAAGCCAAATGCACGCTTTGTGTGTTTCTCTAGCAAAACTGTTTACCCCTTGAGTTACAGAATCCACCAAAAGTTCAGTAAAAAGTATAGGATGCTTAAAGGCAATTTTCCAAAAAACGTTTTAAGTGGGCTGCAGCTTCTTAGAAGGGAGCCTTGAGAAGTTTCTTCTGATGACTTAAGTGTACGTACGCGCTGTTCCACTCCTGACTCTCACCATCAGGTGAGCCTGGAGAAGCCACCTGCCCTCTCAAACTCAGGACCAGCCTGCCCACCAGAGACTCAGATCTGCTGTCTGTTTTATGTGTTTAATGCAGATGGTGACACCGATATCATGAGACAGTTGTGAGGCTTATGTAAACCTCCAAATGAAGAGATCCAAGTGTCTTCTAAACACAATAGCAGTCACTGAAGGAGTCACAACATGGCTTCCCTGACGCCAAGAGGCTTACAGAGCTCAGTGTGATGAACTTGTTTTCTTGGAGTCCTAACTGACTAATAATGTTTTTCTCCTTGCTACTGCTATTTTTAACTTGCCTGAATTTACCTGCTTGGCAACTCCCACCCTATGATGAACGCCCTACCCTAAATAACTTGTATCCAAAATCCAGAAGCTGTTTTTCAGAAAGAAGGTCGTGGAACAGCAGCATTGAAGCAATATCCAGAACCCCCATGATACCAGAGGACTCAAGCCCGATAACGCCAAGGCTGGGGGCAGGAACCTCCTCAAAGGACCACCAGAAGTTTCCCAAACGCAAGATAAACTTTTGTAAAAGACCACTGCTCGCTGTAACCGACAAGCTCCTTCCCGTCTGCCTATGTAACCAAGCCCTAACCCTAGGTGAATTCAGTCTACGGCACTAGCCTCACGTTAACTCCCCTTTGCTGGGCAACGCAATAAAGCTGCTCTTTACTTTGCTCCCCAAATTCTGCCTCCGAGTTTGAATTCGTTTTTTGGGGTGCAGAGGCCAATTTTTCGGCAACATTACCAGTTCTTGGTGCTTAGTCCCTGGCACTTTTCTAAGTCATTTTACAACTGGTCCCACACCTAACTCTCACCTCAGCGCCATAAAGCAGACATTTTTTAGCCTCATTTGCACGGGGGCGACCTGACTACCCCCCGCCCACCCGGGTCACTGCTCCCGGCCCCAGACACAGGTGGAATTCGCCCAGTCTCTGGCCCCCACGCAGGGCCGGCCCCGCAGAGCC